CTATTACAAATATTTGTTTCACAATTTTCTGCCATCTTGGAGAATTCTATTGTAAATGTTTCCATGATGGGCCACCAAAAGTGATATGGCTCAATGCAGTGGCCCAAGGTGCCAGAGTGGAAGGGCACAGGGACTGAGTGCCGCCTCACTATTTCCTGGCTTTGTGACCACTCTAACTTCACTTCCTTCGTTTTAGGGGAAAAGATACAATTCTCCTTTTACAGGGATGTTTGGGGAGTAAGCACGCAAAACACTCACCACCATATCTAGAACAGGCTAGAGACTCAGTGAAAGGGAATCATGGCTGTGGTCGGGCCCCTCTCGGTGACGCAGAGTATGAACCCAAAGGAAGGCACCCTGAATGGAGAAACTCAGATGATCTTATCTCAGGTGGGGAGATATTCCAAGGCATGGTCATTTGCCTAGGGTTTCCTGAATCTGGTGCAGTTAAAATTTCCGTGCCCGTGAACAGCTCTGTGTTTCCTAAGAGAGAGGCTAGAGAACAGCAAGAAGGTAAAATGTTGGCATCCCTAGGAACGCTGATAAGTTAACTCATAGGCTCACTTTAGAGGGTTTTCTAGCACTGCAATAGGATTCAAAACCTAAGTAACGCACTCCAAGGCCTATTAGAATTTAATAAAAAGTGTTACCAGAATGAAATTTAAATTTATTTGCTTAATTGATCTAAACTTGTACTAGATTTATACACAGATTTAAGTAGTAATTGGTAATTGTTAAGGATTAGTGAGAAATAACTTGCTGGTAAAAATAGTTCTCAAATCTCACTTGAATCTCATTCTAGTTGTTTTCCCAATCAGGGATTTGAGTTACTGAATTCTACTTTATCTGGAAATTTTAATATATATCTATAATATTCCCTTAATTTGAGTAAACTATTTGTTATTGTTTTGTTTTACACTAGTTATTTAAATTATCTCTTAACATCTTTGTTTAATGGGGTGAAAATTGATAAAAACATATTCCCCCAAACTTGAAGATATCTATAGTTTCAAGGGTGCTGACCAAGTTGGGCATATCTACATGACACAAATGAGAAAAATGGATTATGTGCTACATAAGATTAAAAGCAAATATGTATCAAATATGAAATATATACAATTACAGACTATGAATTTCTTAGGGGCAGTGTCTAGCAGACTACCTAGAACATAGCAGCTGGTCAGTATATATTTGTTAATGACTAAATGAATGAATTGCCTTATATCAAATTAAGTAGAGTAATTTGGACTTGGTAGGGGAAGTCCATGAAACAGCCTGAAGAATATGAATCTTTGAGTTTCTTAGGGGAGAATCAAAGATGTTTAGTGCCTCGAAAGGAATTTACTGACTAGTAGGCATTTTGCACCAGGCATGCTGAATAAACTAGTGATGAACCCAGGAGATCGTGTGGAGGGCAAAATGAAGTGTCCTTAAAAACATCCCTACAGATTGTATTTCCAGGTAAATAATGATCAGAATGTGTGGAATGATAGTAAGAAAATAAGTGCAATGGCAAGATTTGATTTCTCCTCAAATTACTTGTGTTTCCTTATCATTAGCAGTTTCATTCAGACTAACTCCCAGACTGTCCAGATAATTTTGTTGTAAGAAAAACGGATTACATTGTGTACTATCTGAGAGAAAAAGATAATCATGATTAAGAGGTTTGGAAATGTCTGTCTTTCAAGGGTTTCTATCGTAATGAGGTTTGACGTCTCTGTCTCTCGTACATAGTGTATATGCAAATTTAGAGGGAGGTGGGGCATCGAAAGTAGGTTTTATACAGCTGACGAAACCGAAACCGGGAAGCACAAAACCTACATGATTCTAATCACTGTCAAACCCATTTAGTTGGTCAGGGAAAGAAAGGGATACAAAACAAAGGGGAAGGGTACCATGCCTTTGCATTTGTGAAACACCCCATCATAGGAATTTGGGTTCTTAGACTGTGTGTGTATGCGCATAGCCTTAATTCATCAGAAACCTGAGTCCTTCTTTGTTTGAGGTGTTTGGCTTCCTTACCCTCAAGCAAATCTACTTGCCTAGTGAGTCTAAGAAACAGATCACAGTAAAACTGGCTATATATCAGCTCAGATAACTTGTCAGCTTTTTGATTCCCAAGGGAATTTAGCCTCAGCCAAACTTTTGAATTCCTTTGAACAGTCTTGGGGCTGGTGCTTTGAAGAGGGATTCTTCCCCTTGGTAGCCATCATGAGGTCTGGAGTAACCAAAGTAGTTTCCTTTACAGCTTAGCTTTGAAAACCACTGAGGGATGAGCTGTACTCAACCTTGGGTGGATGATCTGTAGAATTGCTATGGCATCCCAGCCTAAAATTGCATTGTCTTAAAATAAGAGATGCATGATTTCTAATAGGATATATTTGGTGGCAAGCCAAAGAAGATTGGGAAGGTTCCAAAATTCAGGTCCATCTAAAGCATCATGAGTCTTGCCAGCATGTGGCCAATGAGGAATGAGTCTTGAAAGGAGAGAGTTATAGCTACAGGTGGAAAATATGAAATTACTATTTTTGTATTTTTCTTTCTAATGCCTTGAAAAGTTTTGGCAGAGATATGAATAGAAGCTGCTGCCCTTGCTTGCTGTGTGTGTGTGTGTGTGTGTGTGTGTGTGTGTGTGTGTGTGAAGGGGGTAGAGAGAGAGAGGAGAAAGAGAGAGAGAGAAACAATTTAAAGGAGAAAATTGAATTCAGGTCTGGATCTACAGAATCAGGACTGGCAGAGCAAATGTTAGTTTTTCAGTGAAATAATTTCTGTAAGTTGGAATTACATTGATTTGATGACACTGAAGCTAATACCTTTGAGTGTCTTTTTAACAAAAATCTTTTGAAATGTCTATTTGTGGTAGAGATATGATGTTCATAAGAATATTTGAAAAATGTTAGGCATATCATTTCATTTTTCTAATGAAAAAATTTTCATTAGAATATGCCCAGTCTTTTCATATTAATTCTGCACTTTTTTTTTCATTATGGGGGAATACTGAATAAATAAAATGTTTCCTAGCCATGACTGGTATACCCAGCTTGAGTGCTGGTTAGGACTCTTTGCCAAAACATCCATTTACTTTCTTAGCCTGGAGGGACTGAACTAGCAAATGGATGTCACTTATTTTTTAAAATAAGCACACGAGTGTCTTTTTGGTGGATGCTAAATGAAAGAGTTTAATAGAAAAAAAAAAGCCTCCTTCCTTTCACATAAAGCTCTTTCTTGTTAATATCCCAGAGTTAAATGCTGCTGGTAACGTTGAGGAGGTGAGGAGGGTGGAGAAATATCGCTGGCACTTAGCTATAGCTTGGACAAACCACCTTAACTGTATACTTTTATTATAGTGTGTTTTTCCTTTCCTGGATTTTCAATTCTTTCAACATTTCCTTTGACCAGTGTCCTTGTTAGGAGTTTCCCTATGTATATATATAGTAATTAAGAAGACTACACAGTGTAAAATTATTCTGTATATACTCTTATCGGTATATCATTTGCTTGCACCGGCCTAGCCATTCCATGATCATGGGAGATTGTAATTTTCCAACCTCAAAGAATGTGTTTTATTAATTCCTTTTCAAATTCTTCTTACTCAGTGGATGATTCAGAAGGAAAATGCTCAGATTCAGGTGAAGGGAGTCATAGCAAATACTTGCCAGACCACAAAAACTTCAGCTGCCTGGGCTTTTAAGGCTGATTTCAGTTGCTTAAATTTGGGGATGAAAACACTGTTTGTAGTGAACTTGTGGAAATTCTGCAAACATCACAATGACAGGGATCATTGTCTGTCACTTAGTCAGTTGAAGAACCATTTAACAATTGGTCTGCTTTAACGAATTTTTTAAATCTCTTCATCATCATTGGTTACCCTGTTAGACCCTCTAATGATGTACAGGCTCAGTGTTAGAGTTTCTTTTCTTGGAGACATTGACATTCTGCTCTGCTTGGGCTTTGGTCTTCATGCCCTTACTCTGTGGCTCAGAATCACTGAAAGGCTTGTTAAAACTATGGCTTGCTGAGCTCTCTGCCCCTCCAACAGAGGTCTGGGGTAGGGCCTGATATTTGTGTTTCTAAATAGTTCTCAGGTGTGGCTGGGTCTCAGGACCACCCTTTGAGAACCATTGCTCTAAAGAGCCACCTACACTCAACTATTCCAGAACATTCCACTTTTCTTCTGTTTGCAGATAATATATTCCTAGTGTCTTCCTCTTTTGAGATCATTTCCCCCTGCTTCTTTTAAACATGATGCCAAGTGTGCCAAACACGCATAAGCCCACCATGTAACTTAATAACTTTCAAAATAGATACCTTTCCTCTCGAGTTATTTACCTGGGCATTGTATGATGCGACTAGCTTCCTCAGGGTCGTCTGGCATCTCCGACTATCACAGTCACATAAATTGTGTGAGCTCAAATAGATAAAGACAAATTAAGGGTCGGAATAGCATTCTGTGCTAGGACGCAAACGTATTTCTGTTCCACTAGGGAGCACTTCACCCCAGTGGTGTCATTTGCTCATCAGCCCGGCCTGCAGTGATCAGTAGAGATGTTTTCTGAATATTTGTTTTGGAAAAACAGTAGGATCCATATATTCATACAGTGAGACATTTATTGTCGCCAAAGTATTTTCAAATCTGTTATGCCTCGGTTGTTTGGGAGATCTCAAAGTAGATCATCAAGTTGGTCATCACCAACAGGCAAGAGGTGTAAATATAACCCATGCTAAGTGTAGTATAAATGCCAAGGAAGCAGTTTATCTTGTTAAATTCCACCAAGGGCAAGTGACACAGCAGCTGCAGATCTGTCCATAGTGGCCTTGGGGGACACATGCCAGCACTTTGATGACCTTGTCTCTATGCCCGCAGGTGGGAAATCTTTGCATGTAATCAGAGCTACAATGATTATGGACTTGAGAAAGTAATTGAGAGACGCAGCCGCATTTGCAATGCTCGGGACTAATTCAGTGGATTTTCTTCCCATCTTCAGCAGCGTTCAGCGACTTCTGTGGTGACCAGCTACGTTTGGCAGCAGGCTCGGGTGCCCACAACTGCACAGAGCAAGAAGCGTTTGAAACAGTGATGTTCCAGTTTAAAAGGACAGAGCTGCAAACAGAGGTAGGCTTTTATTTTGGGCAAGAGCCTTTCAACTGCACAAAAATCTCACTCCCGGCCACACGCCGTTTATTCACCACGGCCACACTCACAGCACTGGGCACATGTCTTCACTCTGTTCCTGAATCCCGAACGGGGCAAGGGAGGCTTGATGTCAGCATCTTGTCCAGAGTTCCTCGTTCCTTTAGGTCTCTCCATGCCCCATTTGCCTCTTTGCTTCTCTTCTTTACCACTTTCAGCTCCGATCCCTTCATTCTTTAGGGGTCTGTGTTGTATGAAGATGATTATTTGGGGCAGTGGTTTGGTTCCCTGACTGTAATATTTGGTGTTCTCTTTTGACGGCAGAAAACTCACAGTATTGCAACCTTTACCTAAAATACAGAACAGGCCCAGCTCGTTGCCTTCAAAGTGTGGTGATGCTTCTTCATTGCACATGTCACAGTTAAGAGTTGTATTCATTTGAGTTATTGTTTGGTCAATATCTGTCCTTCTCACTGAACACAGGCCACTGTGAAGATAATGGCTACCTGTTGTGCCCACTGTTGGGTCTCTAATGCCGATCAGAGTGTCTGGGACACAACACCTACACAAGAACATTCGTTGTGTGGAAGGAAAGAATGTACATCTCAACTGTACCAGTTGAGTCATGGAAAGTCCTCAGCTGGGCTTAACTATTCATTGGAAATGGTACTCAGCTTTGGAAAGGACTGCACAGAAAGACCCAAGTTTTGTTTTAATGAGTTTATTTTTTTGTTTGTTTGTTGTTCTACCTTATTTTGAGACATTCAAGTGGTGGTATTTGTTGGGTAGAAATAGACAAATAATATATCATCCAATAAGGAGAAATATTAACTATGGTAAATTATACAACTCTTCTATTCTAGCAACTTGTTACTGTAATATATAGATTGCTGTGTTTTTCAAGACTTGGGAAATATGATCTGCACAAGTGTTGCTAGGGGTCGCCATAAAAAGGACCACAAACTAGGTGACTTAAACAACAGTAATTTGTCTCTCAGTTCTGGAACCTAGAAGTACAAGATCAAGGTGTGCACAGGGCTAGCTCCTTCCAAGGACCATGGAGAAAAAATATCTTCCCTGCCTCTCTCTAGAGCTACCTGGCAACCTCCGACATTCCTTAGCTATAGAAACGTCACCCTGCGTCTCTGTCCCCATGGTGCTTCCTGTATATGTGCATCTTCTTACAGGACATTGGTTACATTGGATTGGGGCCCACGCTGCCTCAGTGTGACCTCATCAGAACTAATTACATGTACAGCAACCCTATTTCCAAACAAGGTCACTTTTTGAGGTGCTGGGGGGTGCGGATTTCAATCTACGAATTTTGAACAGACGCAGCTATTGAACAAAAGATGCCTCTGCTCACCCAGCATCTTTGTGCCCAGCGGCACTTCCTCATGGTCCCTGCCAACTCCTTTCAGTGGCAGGGTTTCAATCTTTTTTTTTTTTTTTCTGATGTGGGGTGAGGATGATCTTGGCTTGGCAATTAACTTTGATTTAACTAGCTGAACCTGTTTCAGAGAGCCAGCCAGCAGGTAGGGTGCCAGCTGGCACCCTCTCTGTGCCATCTCTAGTGGCTGTTAGGGACACTGTGTGAGACAGTATGAGAAGACTTCTAATGTCTGCAGAGGGTGCAGAAACTCTCCTCCTCCCTGGCACTTGCGAAGCAGTCCTCTCTGCTCCCCCCCGTGTGTGAAGACTGCAAGAGAAGGGATTAGGGCAGTATCTGGTATGGGCTGCTTTAAACCCTGACATCAGCTGATGAACGCCATTGATCTGTTCTGACAGGAGAGTTCCTATGGGGGAAAAAAACAGGGTGATGAAATACACTGGAACCATCCGACACAAATATTTTAGTTCACCATAGTAAAGGAAGAAGGTAATGTTTGACTACTGGCTGAGTGTCCATGAGAAAGACCAATATTTAATCTTGTCTCTGGCATGTTATCAACAGAACATGTTACATCACTTGCCTGTAGCTTCCAGGTGCTTAAAAAAGTAACTGGCAGAGGTACAAGGGCTTCCCAATTTGTAGAATTCAGAGCATGTCAGTTGTCCCTGTTGATGCAGCCAGGCGTCTAGGGTACATCCATCAGGAGTGCAGTCATTGCTGCTGTTTTGGGTTCAGTGAGAGAGGCGGGGGGCAGACAGAGAGAGAGAGAGGGAGGGAGGGAGGGGGTGGAGGGGGGGAGAGAGAGAGAGAGAGAGAGAGAGAGAGAGAGAGAGAGAGAGAGAGAGATGTGCAGGTGAGTAAAGTTACAGCAAGGAGCCTGCCCCAGAGCAAATGGTTGTCCCAAGGTGAGTTAGCAGCTGGGGTGCAACTTGAATGTGGGTCTCTTACCAAATGGGACAGAGTGCACTTTAATTAAAAACATTATTTGGTAAACAAGTACAGAAAGAAAATCAGGGGTAAAACTAAAGGGGAAACCAAAAATTGCAAGCAGGGGGAATAAGTGACATGCCTGAGAAAGGATTACAAACTGGGGCCTTGCTCTGGTCCTGACTACCCACACGATCCCAGGCAAGTCACCGCCATGCCATGGGCCTCAGTCCTTCTCTCCTGGAAGTGAGGGTAATAGAATAACTCATATCTAAGGAAGTCTTAGGATAAAACTTCATAATATTGTCATTCAAGCCAATGTAGAGTCTCAATTCCCTATTTCTTTCGTTGCCTGGATCTGCCTCAACAGTCTTTTTTTAAAAAAGATTTTATGGATTTATTTTTAGAAAAAGGGGAAGGGAGGGAGAAACAGGGAGAGAAACATCAATGTGTGGTTGTGTCTCACATGCCCCCTACTAAGGACCTAGCCAGCAACCCAGGCATGTGCCCTGAGTGGGAATCGAACCGGTGACTCTTTGGTTTGCAGGCCAGCACTCAGTCCACACTAAGCCACACTAGCCCAGGCTGCCTCAATAGTCTTAATGTTTTATATATTTAAAGTTCTCTGTAATTGGTTGTTGTGCTTTTACCTATAATTTAAATATTGCCCTTACTTCTATGGTTTTAGGGTGTCATTGCCACAAAATATACCCTAAAGTTATTTTATGAAAAGCAAATGGTCAAAAAAAATTTTAAATTACTTTTTACTATGCTTTGGAAGCCAAATACTTTAAAAAGATAAGCCTCAATGGCATAAAACAAAATTGAGCTCCCCTGCCCCAAACAACAGGAAAAAAAAATTGGTGTGTTCTAAAGCAAGGCCCTGGTGTGTGTGTGTGTGTGTATGACCCTGCCTCCAGTTCTTCAAACTATAATTCTGAGGATCACTAGACATAAATAAATAAGCATATAAGGAGAGAAAGTTCTTATGGAATTTGCACTGTAAGACATATACTGTGCATTTAAATCCACATGTATGGATTTGGTGGCATTTGCAAGTACAGCAAGAGTCTACGCAGTAAATGCCTAGTTGAGTCAAGCCCATTTTGAAGAAGCAATCACTGTGGCAGGAATTTAGTTCGGACAAGAACTTCCCTCCACACAGAAGGCCCTCATAACAGCTCTAATAAGCAGCATCCTTATGCTCTTGCGTTGGCACAACATTGTGATGCTCTGTTACTGGGTTGTGTTGGATGGTGGGAGGGCCTGTTGGAGACAGGTTGAGAGGGCAGGCTTCCAGAAGTCCAGGAGTTGTTTGAAAAGGCCACTTTCACTTCTCACAACTGGGTGACCCTGAAGTCTCAGTTTCCTATCTGTAACCTGGTAATGGGTCTCATATTTCAATGTTCTTTTGTATGTAAGGATTAAACAAAATAATAAATGTGGAGTGTTCAGTCAAGTGGCACATAGTGAATGCTTAATAAATAATAGGTAATCCTTATTATATTTTTTTGTGATGTTCTCCCTTTTGGAGAATCCATTACAATACTGGATTCAGAACCTGATGACTTTCCCTCAATATGGAACACCTTCCTTCTTAATCTGTGACTGATCACAAAGTTCTAAGTGTACCAGCACCTATCATCCCCCTAAAGATCCAGGTCTGAAGAGAAGGAAAACATCCCTGAGCTGATTCATGGGTGTGGCGATGCTGCCGTCTTAGGAGTACCCAGTCCATTGCAAGTCTGAGCAATGTAATCCTCGCTCTGGGCAGAAGTCCCTGGGTGAAGACACGTCTGTTTTGTAAGGAGACAACGCGGACTTGTTTTTCAGGGCCTTGTATAATCCCAAACTTCTCAGCTGAAGGAGCTGCGGCAATAGTAAGAATTATTGAATGTGACACCCAGCTATTATGAGAAAATAAAAAAGAAAATGAAAAAGTATAGTTGCGAACTCAAGGTTTTACAATAGAAACTTGGAAAAAAAAAAGAAAACAAAGACATGAAAAAATGTGAACGAAGACCAGCATGCATCCCTAGGTGTATGAAAATACAGAAAGGACTTTAACAGGCTGCCCCATTTGGGGGAATGTCTGGCCCCTCACTGAATACCTCCAACCGTGGGATACTTTACATCTTCTGAAGCTCCCACCCACTCCCTGTAGGGACAAGCTACAGATAACTGTAGAGAGGCAACAGTGAGGAGGAAAAATAAACCTTCCTTTATCCTAACTGTGGTTTAGATCCTGGCTTTAGATCCATTGCTTAACATTTCTGAACTTTGGATAGAAAATAGGATGATGTGAAAATGGACATCATGATGGTACAAGGGGTTGCTGTAGGGATTTAATAATGCACATAGCTCATATAGCACAGTGACTGGCACATAACTAACACTCATGGAACCAAGTGAGCATTCAGTTAACTTTAATGTGACTATTGAACAGGACTGTCTGGCTCCAGCATTCTAATCTCTAGTGGTGGACTTTATTTGTCTGTACTTCTTGCCTACTCTGTAAATGGGAGTTCTAGGCACATCTATGTCATGAGAATGTTGAGTGTTAGATGAGTTGATCCATGTAAAGCTCTTAGACCAGTGCATGGCACTATTTAACCTCATTTGATGTTAGTCATTATTGATGAAGATGTTCTGACCAGTTGCT